AATACTATTAAAATACTATTGATACTATTAAATATTAAATATTACTATTAAAATACTATTAATACTATTAAATATTAAATATTACTATTAAAATACTATTAATACTATTAAATATTAATTTTACTATTAAAATACTAGTAATACTATAAAATATTAAATATTAACTATTAAAATACTATTAATACTATTAAATATTACTATTAAAATACTATTAATACTATTAAATATTAAATATTACTATTAAAATACTATTAACACTATTAAATATTAAATGTTCTTATTAAAATACTATTATTACTATTAAATATTAAATATTACTATTAAAATACTATTAATACTATAAAATATTAAATATTAAAATACTATAAAATATTAAATATTAAAATACCATAAAATATTAAATATTAAAATACCATAAAATATTAAATATTAACTATTAATATACTATTAATACTATTAAATATTAAATATTACTATTAAAGTACTATTAACACTATTAAATATTATATATTACTATTAAAGTACTGTTAACACTATTAAATATTAAATGTTACTATTAAAGTACTATTAACACTATTAAATATTAAATGTTCTTATTAAAATACTATTAATACTATTAAATATTAAATATTATTATTAAAATACTATTAACACTATTAAATATTAAATATTATTATTAATACTATTAATACTATTAAATATTACTATTAATACTATTAAATATTACTATTAAAATACTATTATAATACTATTAAATTGCGTTCAGATTCTTCAATTTTACTAAAACTAACTATACTATTAATTGTTAATTTTACTGTTGAAATACTATTAAATATTAAATATTACTATTAGAATACTATTAATACTATGAAATTATTATTATAATACTATTAAATTTACTATACTATTAAATGTTATTAAATCGCGTTCAGATTCTTCAAATTTTACTAAAACTAACTATACTATTAAATGTTAATTTTACTATTAAAATACTATTAATTATTAAATATTACTATTAAAATACTATTAATACTATTAAATTTACTATACGCCTATGAAATGGCGTTCAGATTCTTCAATTTTACTAAAACTAACTATACTGTTAAATGTTAATTTTACTATTAAAATACTATTATAATACTATCAAATTTACTATACTATTAAATATATTATTAAATCGCCTTCAGATCATTCATCAATTTTACTAAAATTAATTAAATGAAATTGAAAGTATAAAAAGTCTCCGTGACCACGCGAGTATTTCTGGTTGCCTAATCGCGTAGTATCGGCATCAATTACAAAAGAAAAAAAAAAAAAAAAATAGAAAGAAGAATCCCCTGTACATCGTAACGCTAACAGTAACAGGAGATGATTTATACAAAACCTGTGGTTACCCTCTTGCGCTCTTTATTATAGAAAATCGTGACTCGTTATTATCGCGGCTAACCTGCAAAAACGGAACATCCTCGTCCTCCTTCGTGTCCTCCTCGTATCGCCGCGTCTTCCATCCAAGCGGAATCGCGTTGCATTTATGTACGTCGCCTCGGATCGTGGAACCGGCGAGCGCGAGCTTTCGGTCCAGGTGAAAGATTATCTGAATAACAGGCTGCGCGTGTTAGATGTTATCGGCCGAGTCCGAGACCGTAAAATACCTCAATCTATTAAATTTCAACCGCCGACGATTAACCCAGCTCGCGACCAATAGCCCCGGCGAGTTTATTTTCGTGGAGAAGGAAATTCTAGGGTTGGCCCAAGGTTTGTTGCTTCATCACGTCGTAAGAGAGACGTTTACGTCGAAATTAGTATGTTGGCGTCGTCCGATTTTTCATCATGATTATTCGTTTGTACGTTGTTTTGAAACGACGTTGATGATACATATATATATATATATGAGAGAGAGAGAGAGACAGAAATGACTTTTGTTTGATAGTTAAATAGAGATTGTAGGTAAATACAGAGTTGAGAAATTGGCGCTTGGATGTGAGATGTGGTTATTTCTGACGAGGCACAGCGCCATGTTAATTATTGCAACAGCGTAATTTGTGTCTGAGAGTAGGTTATATAATTGAATAGTAATTTAATTACTCGTCCTCCCGATCTCCTCGTCTGATTAATTTTCCTCCAATTTGACCTCAGTTACAAATTTTTTTTAAAAAAAAGTCGAGGCAACAAGACAATAATCTTAAAATTTTAACTCAGCTAATGAAATTTTACATTGAACATTTATTACATTAACATGATTAGGTATACAAATAATTGAATATCCATTTACAAATTGACCTCAATTACAAATTTTTAAAAAAAAGTCGAGACAACAAGACAATAATCTTAAAATTTTAACTCAGCTAATGAAATTTTACATTGAACATTTATTACATTAACATGATTAGGTATACAAATAATTGAATATCCATTTACAAATTTAAACAACTTTTTTTTACTACATTGTACTTTGATTATTATATTTTTTCATATATGTTAAATAATTTATTTGATTTAATTATAAAAAATTATTAATTAATGAACTTGATAAAGTATATGATTTGAATTCATATTATAGAAATAAAATTTTCCATTAATTTAATAGAAAGTAATTAATATAATTAATTCTTTTATTAAATATAAATAAATAGAATTAAATAATATAGAATTGAAATTAATAATTCTAGTCAACATGTGCATATTAAATAATCATATCGAGTCCGAACTAACACACCTCGAATTATAACTAATAATATTAAATTAATTATAAATTAATGAATTAAATAATAAATTAAGTAACTAAATTAAATATTTCAAAAAAAGAACTATGAATTCTTTTTAATAAATAATAATTAAATAATTAGTTAGTAAATAAATTAAATTATTTATTTATTAGTTAAAAGAACTATGAAAAATTATTACCAAAATTTTATTTACAGTTCGATTTCAACATTTCTGCCAATTATAACTAATAATATTAAATTAATTATATTTAATAAATTAAATGATTAAATATTCAGCATATATGTTCTATAGAAATCTTCCCAAATCCGTTCAACAAAATCGAATAAAAAAAAAAAAAAAAAAACACGAGTCAAAAGTCGAAACCACAAACGGACGACAAATTTATTAAGCAAATTCGCAAATCGACCAGCCGTCCTCGCGGAACAGCATGAATATTCAATCGCAAACGTTGCATACAACACAATGTTTTAATAAATAATAATTAAATAATTAGTTAATAAATAAATTAAATTATTTATTTATTAGTTAAAAGAACTATGAAAAATTATTACCAAAATTTTATTTACAGTTCGATTTCAACATTTCTGCCAATTATAACTAATAATATTAAATTAATTATATTTAATAAATTAAATGATTAAATATTCAGCATATATGTTCTATAGAAATCTTCCCAAATCCGTTCAACAAAATCGAATAAAAAAAAAAAAAAAAAAACACGAGTCAAAAGTCGAAACCACAAACGGACGACAAATTTATTAAGCAAATTCGCAAATCGACCAGCCGTCCTCGCGGAACAGCATGAATATTCAATCGCAAACGTTGCATACAACACAATGCCTCGCTCGGTGCCTCGTCAATCCCTAACGAGGTGCGAAAGTTGTTAATAAAATTGTTGTTGTAAACTCGTTGGATTAATTGGCGCTGTTTAAGCGAGTTGCTCCGGTTAGGACGAGAACAGGATCTCGAGTCCTTGGATAGATAAGAATTTTTCCTTCGCGTAACAGCTGCGATCATTTGCCGTAATAAATTGCATCAGCGGCAGCCGTAGGCCGTGTTAATGTCCACGATCTAGTGGAACTGAAGTTTAGGCCGGGCGCGATGTGATTGAAACGGCGAGGCCGTTTCTATCTGTTCTCGACTTCTCGATCGGGGCGCGGAACGAAAGCGGAGCCGAGGCGAGGTACCGTTTCAGAATTCCGCGCGTGAAATCCTCTCGCCTGTCGTTTCGCACTGGCGAACGCTGCACGTGTCGCTGGATACAAATGAATCGCAACGTTGACGAAAAGGACAGATAAGCGTTTCAACGCTGTGCTTGGGAAATTGTTTGGAAAATTGATGGACGAACATTTCAACGCTGTACTAGAAAATCGTTCGTCGCAGAGCGCCGAGTTTCATTCGCGCGTTATTTTAAAATTTAAAATTTTAAATTAAATTTTAAATTATTTTCAAATTTTAAATTTTAAATTAAATTTTAAATTATTTTCAAATTTTAAATTTTAAATTATTTTCAAATTTTAAATTTTAAATTTTAAATTAAATTTTAAATTATTTTTAAATGTAATTAAAATTATTTAAAAATAATTTAAAATTTTAAATTAAATTTAAATTATTTTTTAATATAATTAAAATTATTTAAAAATAATTTAAAATAATAATAATGTAATTAAATTATTTAAAAATAATTTTAAATTTTAAATTATTTTTAAATGTAGTTAAAATTATTTAAAAATAATTTTAAATTTTAAATTATTTTTAAATGTAATTAAAATTTTCTAAAAATAATTTAAAATAATAATAATGTAATTAAATTATTTAAAAATAATTTAAAATTTCAAATTACTTTTAAATATTAAATGAACTGATGTCAAACACGATATATCAATTTTTATTTTAATACTCATCTATTCACGCCAGTGCAATAAATTTTTCTACTCTGACATAACTTTACGCTCTTCGTTATACAATTTTACTATACGCTCGAATCGTTTCGAGAAACAATAGCTTCCGTAAAAGACGCGATACTCCTTCAATTATAAAATATACGTACGGTTATATTACACATGCATGTAAATGTATTGTGTACGGTTTGGCCGCTCGTTACGGTCCGCGAACCAGTTGCCAGCAGTTGCAAAGGGCTTGAAACAACTCCAGATCTGATGCTCACGTTTTCCAAATTATAACTAATAAACGCGCGTCGTCGAGCGTTTCGAAACGATCGTTAACCCTTTCCTACGAGAAACGAGAACTAGGCGGGCATCTCAGGCTGGAAAATAAAATTCTTTCGTTTTATTCGTTTCAGCGAGACGGACATGGCTCCGAACGCGGAGGAGGAGTTGCTGGTGGTGAAGCCGTGGGGCCCGCAACCGGAAAAGGTATGTCAGTGTGTCTTTTGCCCCGGTTCTCGAAGGGATTAGCCTAATCATTTAACCTGCGTATCAGAGTATCAACAGGATGCTTTTAATCAGCATAAAATTTAACGTTTGATCAATGAATTGGGAGGAGGGGAGAGCGTATGAAAATGAAACTGGTTTTGTTTTCCCGTTTTCCTCTTCGTCTTTTGCCGGTTGTTTTGCCTTTAGGGACGCCGTGGGAACTTCGACGAACGACTTAGAAATGTGTTGAAGGAAGGAAATTGGTAGTTGGGGCTTGCTCTCCGTGCAGTTCTGATCTATTTGTCGTAACAAGCTAACTGCAAATAGCTATATCATGCGTTAGATCGTACTCGCTGCCATTATCGATTAAATATTCGATCGGGGAAACTAGACGAAGAGGGAAGATTGCTTGGAAAGACTTTAATTACAGTCTTTCTGGAGAATATTGTTGAAAAATTTTGTTTCATCGAAAAGTCTTCTGTTTGATAATATATATATATATATATAGGGATAATATACAATGTAAGTAAAATTTTATGCCATCTTTGCCATCTCTATGTGAATATTTTAATACCATTATGTACGTAGAATATTATATTATATGTATACGCATTTGGTCCATCTCAAATATCTCCGTTGTTTTTGGAGATATAAAGAAATTTTATTAACAAAAGTTCAGTGCACTTTCACAAGGTTCACGTCTACAATGTATGTACTATGTTGAACTATGCTGATGATAATATATTACACAAAAACAATAAGGTGAAACTTTTCTAATGAAATATTTCGTAAATATTGTATTAAACGGTGTTAATAAAATATTAGTAATAGTAAAGAATTATTCGTGTATTGTAAAATATTAGTAATAGTAAAGAATTATCTATATATTATAAAATATAACGGTATTAATAAAATATTAGTAATAGTAAAGAATTATTCGTGTATTATAAAATATTAGTAATAGTAAAGAATTATCCATATATTATAAAATATAACGGTATTAATAAAATATTAGTAATAGTAAAGAATTATTCATATATTAAACGTGCAATGTAAAGAGGACTTGCATTAATTAACTTCCTGACACTCTATATTGATTTTTGAAAAAAAAACGTATCGAATGATCAAATGATCAATATGACATTATTGGTATAATATTTATATTATATTTCGAATATAATTGAATCAATGAGGTGATTAGATTGTTATCATTTAAAAAAAATCAGTTATATGGCAATTCGTATTTTAAATTTTGAGGAATCGTCAGTCGAAATTTCGTTGTCCAACTCTTTGAAGATGAAAGGAAAAGTCGTGCAATAGACTTTAAAAGAAAATTTCAATCTTCGAGACTATGGTTATCATTTATATTATGGTATTATTTACAAAAAGAATTTTTCAACGTTTGTTGAATTTCACAATTTTTGGAAGGTGTAATGTAATCTGGGAAAGCAAAAACGTCAGGTAATATCAAAGTAAAGACTTTATACTTTAAAAAGACATCAAGCAAATTGTCGTGCGATTTCAACATTCGTCATTCAAGTGATCAACAATAATCATTCGAGTTTTTTCAAAGAAACACAACGTATCGTTGCGTAGAAAAATTTCAAGATACGAGAATTGTTTCGAGACATCTCTCCGTTGTGTCTCACTTTTCTTAACATCGTAAAAAAAAAAAAAAAAAAATAGAAGAAGTAACGTCGTCGCCGCTAATGAGAGATTTACGTCATCACAATAGGATGGTTAACGAGGCTCCTTCGTCTAAACACCCATTGGAAAACTGCGTTCGCTCGTGTTCTCTCGTGAAAGTCGCGACTTTTACCAACGTTCGAAGCCTCTTCTCACTCTAATTGAGAAAAACGCGACGCAAACGCGCGAGTTTAAAATTGGATCAGGCATTGAGAAACGCCGCGTTCGCCATTCTCCGCGAGCATTGGTTTTCTTCTTTCTTCCTTTAGATTGTTGAATAAATGACGATGCGAACACGCATTGACAGGCGAGCACTCGTTTGGGTACGCTTATGCGAATCAGGAAAGCGTGACATCCTCGTGCATAGGTATTTAGGTTACATACGTGAGTTTGTTTTGTCTCACTATGATTCGATAATTGTACTGCAATTAGAAAATTGAGGCAATTGTTGGAAATGAAGATCGTCGTTTGAACATTTGTATCGTGAAAAGTTTATTTGTAACAGGAATATGTTTCAAGGATGTTAAAAAGTCACGGTGGTTGTAAAAAGTATTGGATATTGAAAGGTTCTCGATCATTGTGACAAACAATTGAATGCTATTTGATAATAATATTAAATGATAATGTTACGTTACATGACAATGTTAAATTGGTTGTTACAGTTTAATTACAATTAAAATATTCTGAATACGTTATTTATGTGTCTCAGTATTTAGTATTATAGAATCATCTTTGATACTTAATACAGCATGCTCAAAATCACTTTTCATATATATTAAATTATTACTAAATATTTGTCTTTAGTATATTAAATTATTACTAAATATTTATTTTTAGTATATTAAATTATTGCTAAATATTTGTCTTTAGTATATTAAATTATTACTAAATATTTATTTTTAGTACATTAAATTATTGCTAAATATTTGTTTTTAGTATATTAAATTATTACTAAATATTTATTTTTAGTATATTAAATTATTACTAAATATTTGTTTTTAGTATATTAAATTATTACTAAATATTTGTTTTTAGTATATTAAATTATTACTAAATATTTATTTTTAGCATATTAAATTATTACTAAATATTTGTCTTTAGTATTATTTAAATTATTACTAAATATTTATTTTTAGTATATTAAATTATTACTAAATATTTGTCTTTAGTATATTAAATTATTACTAAATATTTATTTTCAAGTGTAATGTTTAAAAGTAATTTTTATACATTTTCAGACTAATTCCAAATTTTATCAATATAATCGTCATTTTGAAGTGTTATTTATATAACACATATATAATTTACACAGAACTATCATACCACTTATAATTGTATATAAGAAATTTTCTATAGTAATATAGTTTGAATATTTTCGTGAGCCACTGTTAGCATTTAACCAACTAAATAAACCTACTTGTTCTAATCATAAATTAAATCAAACATCAAAGAAATTTATTTTTCAGTTCGATATTCGATTAAATGAAACTGAAACTTTCATTACACGAACGAAAGATCACTGATAGACAAGAGAATCAGTGGACTCTCGCTAAATGAACACTGCGATTATACAAATTATAATACTTGTTCTCTGACAAGTTCATACGAAAATTATCGTTACACCGCGGATAGTTATTAAATCACTCTCGCAAATATATTCAGAGTAACCTCCGTAAGTGTTCTTTTCGTTCGGGCGCCTAATTGCTTGCACGATTGCCACGCTTACGAGTGAAACCTTTTCTCCCTTGCCTTAACGATCTCTTTTCTCGCCGAGATCTCGTTACACGTTCGTTGAAATCGAAAGAAAAAAAAGAAAAAAAAAAAGAGAAATACAAGACATGATTGATCTATGCACACCTCTACTCAATCATGATCGTCGTTAGACGATTTACGCCGTATCCCGGAATGGAAGGCTAATTACTTTGTCGTTTTTTCGAAAGGAAAGGGAAAAAATAAATACATCGTTACCGGCGTTCATCAAAACGATGACGGCCCGTCAGAGTCGTTTGTCGATTTTAGTAGAACGAGCGCGTGATTGATCGCGACTGTCGTGGACCTGGAACTATTATATCTAAATACGGCGGAGAGGATAACTGAACCGATATCTATAACTGTAAATCATTTTTCACACGTCGTTAACCCGAGAAACGAGAGAGACGAATGTGAAGTAAAATATTTTGACTTGTGATTTCGAGAGAATCATGCTTGACGATTAATCGAGTATACTTGAATTTAGCTGAATAATTCTGTATGCGACAGGAAAATATTAACAAAATAATTAACAAATATAGTAGAGATGTGGAATAAATTCTTTCTCAAAGCTTCGTTTTGAAGAAACAAAAGAGAGACTTTAAATATCTTTTGTTAACAATAGCCTTATACTAAACACTCGAGAACGGGGGAAAATTTTATCCTACACTGTTTGCATATTTTCGCATGTTAAATTAATAACAAGCTGAAATTAATTAACAGCGAGTCTAGTTGGTGACATCTTCAAACTTGATTCTCTCGAAAACGAAGCCTCAAATGAAAACATTTTATTCTGTATTAATTTTAATTTTATTTTAAATTCAATTCTAAATTTTATTCTATATTAATTCTAAATTTAATTCTCAATTTTCTTCTATATTAATTCTAAATTTTATTGTATATTAATTCTAAATTTAATTCTATATTAATTCTAAATTTTATTCTAAAATTTATTCTATATTAATTTTAAATTTAATTCTAAATTTAATTTAAATTTAATTCTAAATTTAATTTAAATTTAATTCTAAATTTATTCTAAATTTTATTCTATATTAATTCTAAATTTAATTCTCAATTTTATTCTATATTAATTCTAAATTTAATTCTCAATTTTATTCTATATTAATTCTAAATTTTATTCTAAATTTTATTCTATATTAATTTATAAATATAAATTTTATTCTAAATTTAATTCTATATTAATTCTAAATTTTATTCTAAATTTTATTCTATATTAATTTTAAATTCAATTCTAAATTTAATTTAAATTTAATTCTAAATTTAATTCTATATTAATTCTAAATTTTATTCTAAATTTTATTCTATAATTTTCTCTTATTTTTTGCGAGGAAATAAAACGTCCAGAATATATATAGTATATCCAAAATTTTATTTTAACAGCTTATTGCTTCATTTTATCAATACAATATATCAATACATCAATATGTATTCAATACATTCGATATAGTCAATATACAATATACAGAGTAATTTATTTAAATCGACCCACTCGAATAACTTTGAAATCGTTGATGACGCAAAAAAAAAAAGAAGGTGTCGGATGGATCTAATAATTATTTATATTAGTATTTAGATGATCAAAGTCAATTTTTTCAGAACTCTCGTAAATTCCACAGTCGAAATGCAATGAAATTCCCCGGTGAGAATCGTTAGATTGGTCTGCGGTTCATCTCATTTTCAGCCGGCTAACCGTCGAATGGAAACTCAGTTTCTCGTTTAAAACCGATTAACCACAATGGCAAACCACAATCGAGCCAGCAGACGATTTCGTTATCCGTCATTTAGAAAGTGAGCAGACTAATCTTCGAAGCAAATCGACCGACAAATTGTTCCTAAATTCCCGATTCTGCGGTAATGGACCGAAGCACGTCTGAGAGCAAGCAATAAAGCACGAGAGGGATACGGGGTTTAATTATCTCGAAGAAGCGTAACTACATCGGCTTCGTGGTGTTGCCGAGTCGGAGGCGATAAATTGATCTTCACGATCCATGAATCCGCATTTCGAAATCAATCCTTATCTAGCGACGGTATCAAGTTCAATGTGTACTTACGAAACTAAATTAAATCTAATACAAAAAAGTTGTTCACACCGTGGCACACGATTGCTACATCATCAAAGATGGTATTCAGTTGTATGTTCTCCATTTATTTGAACCAAATTTTTGTTTTCAATATCCGATTAAATGAATAATCTTACTGGTTGAATATACTTATTTAATCTTGAAAGTATTAAAATAATTATCTAAAATTGTATAATCCAATTATATAAATTATTTGCGACATAATTAACTGTAATCTAAAACCACCCTGTATGTTAAGACACAAACTAATTTAGAATTTAGAATTTAGAATTTTTTTTCAATGTGAAAGAAACAATGTGTTTCCCCTATTTTCTACGTTAGGAAAACTTTATTTTATAAAATAATATAAAGTATAAAACAAGTATGAAATATATATAGTATAAAGTACAAATATAAAGTATAGTATATAGTATAGTATATAGTACAAATATAAAGTATAATATAAAGTATAATATAAAGTATAGTATAAAGTATAATATAAACTATAGTATAAAGTATAATATAAAGTATAGTATAAAGTATAATATAAAGTATAGTATAAAGTATAATATAAAGTATATTATAAAGTATAATATAAAGTATATTATAAAGTATAATATTATATATTATAAAGTATAATATAAAGTAAATTATAAAGTATAATATAAAGTATAATATAAAGTATAGTATAGTACTAATATAAAGTATAATATAAAGTATAGTATAAAGTATAATATAAACTATAGTATAAAGTATAATATAAAGTATATTGTAAAGTATATTATAAAGTATAATATAAAGTATAATATAAAGTATAGTATAGTACTAATATAAAGTATATATAAAGTATAGTATAGTATAAATATAAAGTATAATATAAAGTATATATAAAGTATAGTATAGTACAAATATGAATTATAGTATATAGTACAAATATAAAGTATATGTAAAGTATAGTATATAGTACAAATATAAAGTATAATATAAAGTATATATAAAGTATAGTGTAGTACAAATATAAAGTATAGTATATAGTACAAATGTAAAGTATATTATAAAGTATAGTTTATAGTACAAATATAAAGTATAATATTAAATATATATAAAGTATAAACGCATGAAATTGGCAAAAAGGATAAATCAGACCCCTGGAAGCTTTGTTCGATTATGTTGTTGCCTCGATAGGGCACCAGACGGACGAGCAATTATGTTTAGAGCGTTGGTGATTTTCTTTGCAGGAGCGATTAAGACCACCTACGTACAACGCCGAGGACTACGCGATCGCCCTGAGACGATGGGGAAGACGTCCATTAGGAAGTGTTCAAGACTCGCATGGTACTCTGCCGTCGACAACCAGTTCGAGTTCCGGCTACGCTTCCGGAAGCGGCGAGATGACCTTGAGACAATTCACGTCGGTCAGCGAGCTTCTGAACAAGCTGAGGGCTGACCTGAGGCTAGCGTTTCCAAGGTTAGTGTGCACGTACTACCCGATGGATTTATAATTGTTTCTTCTGGCATTATCATTTATTTATTTATTTATTTATTTATTATTTTGCTGTATTGTTTATTCATATATTTTTTCGTCGTACAACAGAATGGTGAGAATAATTTGAATTTATTTCGAGTAACTTTGGAATATTTACGAGTTAGGTTTCGTTAAATTCGAGATTAATTTGGAAAATTAATCTCGAGCAGCTTCCAAGATTAATATCGAGCAGCTGTAGAATCTGCTTTAATTTAGATCAAATTTCCTGTATTTATACTTTTACGTGAAATTAATTAATCTAAAATTAATTTTACCAAGTGTTTCTCGTTTCTTAACTTGATTTCTTAAATTTATAATTATTATTTCACTTATTTATTTATAATAGATATTTTATTTATTTGTAATTAAATTTATTATCATAATATTGAAGTGAGAAGGACGGGAGGTAAAGATCGTTGCTCTGAATTTAATTCTTTATAATCCTGACGGAAATATTGAATATACAGAATTGAAAAAGTTTGCGATGAAATTTCCATGAATTTTGACGATTGAAAAGACAAAATCACAGTCAGGATTATAAAGAGTTAAATTCAGAGCAACGATCTTTACCTCCTGTCTTTCTCACTTCAATAAATTTAATTGCAAATAAATAAAATATCTATTATATAAATAAATAAACAAAGTAATAATTATAAATTTAACCTCCGCGTTAGATATTGACTTTTTTCTCTTGAACAATTCCAGCAAAACCAAGTATATAATTCCATTGTTACCGTTTGAAATTTCTTACAAGATTGCCGAGACCTCCTAGATTAATCAGACGCCTAATTATCATTGCAAATTACGCGAAACTTAAACGGTTGCTCTGCTTTGCATATCCGAAAGTCAGCCATCGTGCACACGCGAAAACACCAAGTTTATATTTAGTTGCAACGCTGTTAATTACACGTATCAGGCATAGTTATTAAATATTCGCGGAACTTTTTCCTAACGCGAGTATTTCCATCGTTGGAAGGATTCATTTTGAAAGTCGGTGTTGCGAGTCGAATCACAGAAAACCCGGGAAAACGCTTCACTTTCGAACGATGGACCATGTGGCCGGAAGTACTATGTGGCGCTTGATTGTCCGTAAACAATTAGAATAATAGCGAATAAAAGCGATCGTACGGTTGGATTTATGCTCTCTCGGTGGAACTAACGACAAGAACACCTCGGAAATACTCGATACTAATTGAACAGGAAGAACGGGGCCCGGATTTACAGTTACTTTTTATACGTATTTTTATATCTGAGAGCGCCTCGAAACTCGTAAAAATTCCTCCAAGATTTTTGGCTGAGGTGGGTCATTAAACTTTTCCTCGTTCGGAGGAAAAATAAACCTTGATCACCATGGGATTGTAGGATTGTCGACGATGTAATAAATTATAAATGTCTGTGTCTTTAATCCCCGTTAGGGTCATTTTGAATAATACAATATAACGTGTGTAACATGTAATATTTATATTTATATTACGAATTATACAGATTTATATTTTATATAAACATAAAATATTATAGAGAGAAGAATATTATAAAATATAGAGATTTATATTTTATATAAATATAAAATATTATAGAGAGAAAAATATTATAAAATATTTAAAGATTTGTATTTTATATAAATATAAAATATTATAAAATATTATAGAGATTTATATCTTATATAAATATAAAATATTATAGAGAGAAGAATATTATAAAATATGGAGATTTATATTTTATATAAATATAAAATGTTATAGAGAGAAAAATATTATAAAATATTATAGAGATTTACATCTTATATAAATATAAAATATTATAGAGAGAAGAATATTATAAAATATTATAGATTTATATTTTATATAAATATAAAATATTATAGAGAGAAAAATATTATAAAATATTATAGAGAGAAGAATATTATAAAATATTATAGAGATTTATATTTTATATAAATATAAAATATTATCGAGAGAAAAATATTATAAAATATAGAGATTTATATCTTATATAAATATAAAATATTATAGAGAGAAAAATATTATAAAATATTATAGAGAGAAGAATATCATAAAATATTACAGAGATTTATATTTTATATAAATATAAAATATTATAGAGAGAAACATATTATAAAATATTATAGAGATTTATATTTTATGAATAAGAGTATCTACAATGAAAAGTAATTCAAAAACCGCTAAATTATTCAAAAACGTATAAAACTGCATAAATCTGTTTTACACGATTCAGAAAAGTGACGTTAAATAATAGAAATAAATGAAAAATATGAGTCCAAGCTATTGTACATTTATAGCTGTGCAGTACCATATACCATTTCTCCACAGAGTGCAATGAAAGTGAAGTTGAATGGAAGACTCAACAAAACTACTGATTTTTCCACGATCTGTATTTCAGTTCGCGAGATAGGAGATCCCGTAAGACGATAGTTGTGCGCGATATCACGTTTAGCGTTACAGTTTCTATGCTCTTCCTTATCTAGTTTCGTATCATACCTCGCGAGATTAGATCACACTCTGGTCAATCCATTAACACTAACTTTTCATTTGCGATTTCAGTTTCTCTTTTTTCTTTTTTTCTTTTAAATTCAATCTCGACTGGCTTCGAGTTTCGTTGTTTATTAATTGACAAGCATCGATCAACGAGATTACGAATAAATCCATTGGATTTAAAGATGAGCATAACTGAACTAGTGATCATTGTGTAAATTCTTCCTCGTCACCGTTAATATTAAGAATTTTGACGGGGAATATTAAGAATTTCTTTCATACCATGTACGTTTTTTCTTTGGTAACAAGAAATATTCATTGATTCGATTTTTCACGTTGCTCTTCACTATCTTTGAACTTGAATATTTCTAATAATAAACTGCCTTCGCAATGATATAATACAATAATAATAATAATTGTAATGTAATAATAATATAATATAATATAATATAATATAATATAATAATAATATAATATAATATAGTAATAATTATTATTGTGTATATTATAAATAAAATAATATATTGTTGCATTATTATAATATTTGGTAATATATGTATTTACAATATTATAATATGACATATTATAATATTTATAATATAACGTAACATTTATAATATTATAATGTAACATTATAATATTTGTAAAATAAAATAACATAATAATATTCAAATATTTATTACTTAGTATTTGTTATTTATTATAATATTATAATTTAATATATATTATAATATTTTAATGTGTAATATATTTATATATATTTATATTTATTTTAATATATTATATATATTTATATATATCTTAATATTTTGATATATTAAATATCGTAATATTTTATTAAATTATAATTTAGTATATATATTACTATAATATTATATATAATTTAATATATATTATATTTTAATATTATAATTTAATATATTATAATATTTTAATATTTTATAATTATAATTTAATATATAATAATATTTTAGTGTGTATATATTTATATTTATTTTAATATATTATATATATTTATATATATCTTAATATTTTAATATATTAAATATCATAGTATTTTATTAAATTATAATTTAGTATATATTATTTATTATAATATTATAGTACAACATATTATCATAGATTATATTATACTACATTATGTATGATCGTTTGTTATAACATTAACTATACAAAACGTTATAATTATATAAAATAATTTCCGCAGCGTGTATTTTTTTCTTTTTTTTTTTTCTTGCCATATTAACATGATTTGCGCGAGATCCCTATGCTCTTCACTCTGTGGCTCGTGGAGAGAAAAAGGCTGGCGATAGGCCAGCGAAAACGCATGAATCGTCCAAGCAATATTCTCGGACTAATTCTTGCCCGATCGACGTGCTCGTTTACCCTTATTAAGCGCAATTTCGCCGCGCGTATCGCCGCACAATTTGCAGCCAACGGATATATGCGCTCGAAGTGGCGCGCCTCCTTCTTGCATAGACGAGAATGATTCTAATCGCGGAGCCCGGACGAATGTAAAAGGACAAAGAGGGCAAAGAACGCGGCGCGCCAATCGCGCAAGCCAGGAGGCCTCGCGAGGAAAAATGAACGCGCGAGGGATAACATCCCGAGCCTCTTCCCACCCCACGCGCGTTTGAAACACGCGACCGCGCGTAATTTGCCCCGCAGCTGTTCTAAAATTAAAGCTGCGCTCCACACGGCTGCAGCGTAATCAGTTTGTCGCGTTGCACCTTGAAAATCGCGAGTGAGAGTTTGTACGGAGGTTTAGGAATATCGTGGAACGTCGAGGAGAGCAGAGGTTTATATTCGTGAGAGCGAGTTTGGGGACCGATTGCGAGATTCTTTCGAGTCAGTGATGACCCTGTAAAGTGATTTCCGCTCCGTGATCGAGATATTTGATTAACTTTAATTATTATCGTTTAAATCACATTTAATATTATTATCATTCACATATTATCAGTTAATTATTATTGAACTTTTATTATTGTCGTTTAGATTACGATACACGAAATACTCGAGTCTCTTAGTGGACAGCAATATGATAGCAATCGAGTATTTGTAGGATAATTAATAATAGGGTCCAGTTGAAACGAAAAGTTGATGAAAAATTATGGTGTTTTTTTGTGGTGGTATTTTTTTTTTTTTAAGGAAGATTATTCCCTGTATTCAATAGTTGTCATGACGTCCGATAAGTTTAAAATAAATCTCACTATTATTTTTAGAAATTAAAAATTATATATTATTAATTGAATATATTATTATATTATATTATAATTGTACTATAATTGTACATATTGTATTATATTATAATTATATATATTATTAATTAAATATATTATTATATTATATTATAATTGTACTATAATTGTACATATTGTATTATATTATAATTATATTATAATTGTATATATTATATAATATATATTATAATATAATTATATTGTATTATAT